CCGCAAAACCCTACTTGAGAAAGAACAAGGAAAATTTCAAATAGTTATTTGTAATTATATTTATTTGAGAAAAGAATTTTTAAAATAACATGAAAGAAAACTATGAAATTAAAAAGAAGAGCTAAAAAAAATTGATAGATGAGAAATACAAAAATATTATTTAAGAATCTATACTTAAATTAAGAAAAGAAAAGAAAAATATAAGAATTCATAAGTTAATGTAATTGAAGCAAGATTTGAAAATAAGGTGTAAATTACCAAGAAAAATTTATTTTTAATTAGGCGTAAAAGGAAAAGAATTCAGTTAATGTAGCTTAAATTTTAAGGAAAATTTGTAGAAAAGAAATATTTTAAATTACATTAAATTTTGCTTGCCATCTGATGCAAAACTCACCGACGTGGGGGGGAGTGTGAGAACAAAATATCCATACGGAATTTAGCCCACACTATGCATAAATACGCACCCTTTTAAACAAATACAACATAGCAAGGGTATGCAAGAAGAAGGAAAACGAAACATAGCAAGCGCTTTTACACGATACGGTAAAATCACGCCACGTTAACAACACAACAAGTATTGGGCTGCAACGGAAAACCCACGCCACTTCTAGCAACACACGCCATCCCAAAGCAACATGTTGCGAGCGCGCGAGCAAGCAACACACGGCCTAACGGAAAGCAAGCAGGCCCATCAGCAGTCAGTCAGTACAGGACTGTAACAGCAATCACACGCATGACACTAGACTCAGCAGTGAGTCGATCCTCTGACTAGTCTTAGTGTCTTAAGTTGTGAACGCCGTTCGTTAAGGGTGAGCTCGGTAGTGAGTTGATCCTCTGACAGACTCAACCCGTAACTTTCGGTCGCCAACACAATCTCCTTTGGTCCGGGATTATTTTTAAACGGCTATACACGAGCGGGGGGCAGAAGCATCAACATCCGAGCGTCAAATCACGCAGCGGTAGAAACCCCGTCGAAGCCATCATCACCACAGGACGCAAAAGTAAGTCATCCTAAGTCGCTTAGCACTCCCAGAGCGCGGAAGAGTAGAATCGTATCGTATAATAGCTATTCAACAGGAGCACGGAGAGGCGGATGATGCTACTGCGGTAAGGAGTGAATGCCTCGCAGTGAGTCGATCCTCTGGCATTTCACTCTTAACCGTATGAAGGCTGGAAGTCACGCGTGAAGTGGGTAGTGAGTCTATCCTGACCTGCTCCACGCTTGGCATCGCAGCCGCTGCCACTTCCCTCCGTAATTCTGCGTGATAGTGACGCGCTAACGGGCCACGCAAACCGCTTCTCTGCCATAGCGCTATCCTCGGGTGACGCCACTACAACGCTGTGATGTATGGTAATGTTTTTAATAAAATACGATTTGTAAAAGGTCCCATCGTTTACAAATTTACTGTAACAAACCCTGGACACGGCGAGTATACCTCAGCAAATCACAAAAAGCAGGGTAGCAAAAAGTTTCGTTACACGAGTTAAACATTACTGCGTTTATTTAGGAAAAATATGGAAAAACGGGTAAATAAACTATTTTATATATAACAAGCGTACACCATCCGTTTCGCTGGACGCAAACTCATTTTAAACACACTCATTTTTGTTTTTTATTTAAAAATTAGTAGAAACTTAAACATAATATAAAAAATGATACATTTTTAATAACCACAGAAACCTTTTATTTTATCACTTTTTAATTAAGTGCTCTATGATAAACGATGTTTTTTGTTTTCCCATCTTTGGCATAAATGTATAATGCTTGGTTAAGTGGTGAAAAGGGCACAACCATCTATTATAAATTTCAATCTCTTAATTTTTTACTCGAATAGATCCTACATTCCCTTTATCTTGAACAGAACGACGACGTTAAAGCGGATATCCGTCAACTCCTGTTCCAACAACGAAAATGTGATACTTTGTAATCAAATTCATGAGCATTTTTAATTTTTGTTTGAAAGTTCGAGCAGTCAAATCATGACAAACAGTATGCGATTGATTGAAGAATAAATGCTCTTGAATTTAATCCCATTGTGAATTAAAAGTGAATGTAATGAACAAATCGGATCTTTGATAATTTCGAAGGTAACACATTGCATCCTGCGCATATTCATGCATATGGCGTGGGCTGCCAGTAAAACTGGATGGCAAAATTATGAGCTGACCAATATCTTGTGAATTGCCGGGGTTATTAATGTCATCACAAATGGATATAATCTTCGCATCGTAAATTACGTTGATGAAATCGAATATAATTCAATCGCTTGGATTCATACTTCGCATACATATCCACAGCATATTGGTGAAATAAGCTTCGACACTTTAATATATAAGGTTGCTTTTTTGCTCTTCATTCAATGCTTTATAAAAAGTGTTACAGTGATCGGATTTAGTTAAAATATGCGCCGTTTTGTTCGATGATCTGTTTCCATCTAGACGGCAACTTCATAATACCTTCCTCGTAGAAGCCCCCCTCCTTATTTGCGAAGAATTCGGACAGCCACTTTTCACAAGCCTCTTTTGAGTTCAACTTCACACCACCAAGGGCATTCGCCATGGACAGGAACAGGTGGTAATCACTTGGCGCTACGTCCGGGCTATATGGTGGATGCGATAAAACCTCTCATCCGAGCTCCCGTAGCTTCTGACGAGTCATCAACGAAGTGTGTGGTCTGGCGTTGTCCTGGTGGAACACTATACCCTTCCTGTTGGTCAATTCTGGTCGATCGCCTGCTTCAAGCGGTCCAGTTGTTCGCAGTAGATGGTAGAATTAAGCGTCTGGCCATATGGGAGCAGCTCATAGTGGATGATTCCCTTCCAATCCCACCAAACACACAGCAAAACCTTCCTGGCCGTCAATCCCGGCTTGGCCACTGTTTGGGACGATTCACCGGCCTTCGACCACGACCGTTTTCGCTTCATATTGTCGTATGTGATCCATTTTTCGTCGCCAGTCACCATCCGCTTCAAGAATGGGACGAGTTCGTTCCGTTTCAGAAGCATATCGCAGGCGTTGATTCGGTCCAGAAGGTTTTTTTGCGTCAAATTATGCGGCACCCAAACATCAAACTTTTTTTTGTATCCAGCCTATTGCAGATGGTTCAAAATGGTTTGGTGACTAACTCCCATCTCCTGGGCGATGTCACGAGATGCCATATGCCGGTCTAACTCGATGTATTCCATGATTTGATCGGTATTTGTCGTCACAGGTTTTCCGCCGGCTGGCTTATCCATGGTGTCGTTTTCACCGGCTCTGAATCGTCGAAACCATTCCTCCGCGGTTCGAAGTGATAGAGTACCATCCCCCAAAACACCATTAATCTCACGGAACGTTTCTCTAGCGGATTTGCCTTTGACGAAGGAAAACTTTAAAATAGCGCGAATTTCGGCGTTAGTGAACTCCATGTTTACACGTCTATAACTGTTGAACGCAATATCCAAACTAATCATGCATAGCGTTGTTTTGTAGGTTATGTTAAGACCTTTCAAATTATGTATAGTGTTGCCAGATACGAGCTCTGTAGCGCTATGTACATAGCCGCGAAATTCAAAAGACAAAAAGGCGGAAGGGAGATATTCATAACGCTCAATAACAATAATAATCAATAACGTGCGGCCAGAGGCAGTGGTTAAAGCCCTCGAAAAGTTTGAGGTGGAATCGAACCTCAAACACCTCATTTTCAGTCTTCTTTGCGACAGAACTGTCGTGGCGGAGTGGGGTAGTGCCAAGTCAACCAGAAAGGTTAATAGGGGAACTCCGCAGGGAGGAGTACTCTCCCCACTGCTCTGGATCTTGGTGGTGAACGACCTACTTAAAGAACTCGAGGAGCAAGGCTGTCGGGTGATAGCCTATGCTGATGATGTGGTTCTTATGGTTAAAGGTAAATTCTTTAATACCGTCTAGGAGCTCACCGAAGGGTACCTAAACGTGGTATCCAACTGGGAAAACAGAAGCGGCCTAGCCGTCAACCCAAGTAAAATCAAAATGGTTTTATTTACTAGGAGGTTCACGAACATCGAGGAGAGAGTCAAGAAGGCATCGGTCGCCTTATATTGCTGCAGGGGAGCTATAGGGAAAAGGTTGGGGCTCTCATCTAAGGTGGTGTTCTGGCCCTACGAAACCGTAATCAAGCCAATATTGTTCTATGGTGTGTTCGTCTGGTTGAGGGCGCTCGAAAAGACTACCCTAGCTAAAAGGCTTGAGCGAGTCCAAAGAGCGGCGCTCATCGGAATCTCCGGTGCACTGCGAACCACACCAACGATAGCTCTCAACGCTATGTTAAATATAGAACCTGTGGACATTGCCGGTAGGTGCATTGATGCGAGGTGTGCTACTAGGCTCAGGGAAGCTGGGCTCTTGAAGAGGTCCGAACAAGGACACGCCACAATTCTCTCCTCCTTCAGCTGCATTCCTGAAATTTTGGATCACTGCGTCACAGTGGAATGGGATCGAGTTGGTTCTCCGCTAACGTCTTGCATTCTGCGCGATCCTTTTGGCCGAGAGTGGATCACAGGTGGTCGGAGGATCTTCTCGCCTTGAACAAAGTTCACCTAGCCGCCATGGTAGGAGTTCTCACTGGGCACTGTTCAATGGGAACTCATGCGGTGCGGCTTAGAATACAACCCGATGGTAGTTGTTAAAGCTGTATGGAGGAGGGTGAAGTGGAAACATCCCGGCACTTTCTCCTCCACTGTCCGGCTTTTGCTAGGCTGAAAATGAAACATCTCGGCAATCACACCTTTGGCGGACCAGAAGATTTGGCCGAAACGGATATAGGCCGTCTGAACAAGTTTGTCATAGGCACAAAGCGCTTTGTCGGCATGTAAGGGTCTATTGATCTGTCTCATAGGAGTTTTGGGTACCACAACGGACCGGCGGCTAAGCTGTCCAAGTGTGATCCTTCTTGGGATCGACCCTCTAACCTAACCTAACCTAATTCATGACGCTTAGAATTTTATTTGTTAATGTACGTACAAAAACAATTTTTTTTTTAGAATTTTGTAATAAATATACATTTTATATTTAAAATACTATTTTACTCTGTAAAAGCATGTTGCAAAGTATAAAAATTATACGATTAACTGGATTGATAACATCATATTGATATTCCCCTTTTCAAAATAGCAACGCATATTGCAACGCATCGTATAATCTGTGCAATTCCGACATACGTTGTAATTCATAAATATTTCTGCGATGAAGCACAATGTCACGGGGATTGCATTCGTCACCAATAATTTCTATGGCCACTTCATCAATAATTGGTAAATTGAAACGCCGAGCATGTTGACCGGCAGTTGTTCTCTCAGCTCAATTTTGTGATTATTTGATGGCATTCTTTTCCAAGTCACTTTGAACAAATTCCCCAATTGATTTAATTAAGAAGTGATTTGAAATAAAGAATTGTATGTTTAAATTTTGTCCAGAAAATACTTTTATTCTGGTGTATCACCTGATACCAGTTCACGTAATACATCAGGAATGTCATCAGCTAATTCCACTCGAACTTTTCCACCATTACAACACTATTCAGTTGTTTCATTTTTGAATTAAATTGTACGGCAAAATTCACAAACGTGAAGCATGAATTTCAATTTGAACAAACGAATGGGTCGAATAATCATCATAATTTTTTGTATTCAAATGCGATTCGATTTAAATATTTATGCATATTTGAACGAGAATTTGTGTCAAATTGTCGCCGTGAATTACGATTGCGCCGCATTCGCTCTTGATCCTGTGCATTTTATCCTTCTAATTTTTTTAGCAGAACGATTTGAGCGTGATCGGGAACGACGTTCTCTTTCAGTTTCGATACGACTCTCACGTTGGTCTTAATTTTCTTGTGCTCTTCTACTACTTGCTACAATCTTTACCCTCCTGGATATTCTACTAATAACAGATTTGCCATTTACTTCTAAAATAAAAAAATTATTTCTATTAATTTTCTTAGTATTTCAAAAAGAAACAAAAAAAAAATAATAATACAGCAAACGAAAACACAACAATTTTGTGAATTATGAACGTTGTCTATGTCTATAACACTCACATTGCAGAAAACCAAACACTGATCAAAGCACAGATCAAATTCTTAGGGCGATAACTAAAAGAAATAAAAATTCAATTATTGTATTTAGAACATTTATTAATTTTTAATAATAATAATAGAAATATTTTAAAAAATTGTGAATAAGGAGAAAATTAAGATACTCAAAAATATTTAGTTTAAATTTAGAATTATAATAATTTATACATAAATGAATTCTAATAAAAATTGTAACTTTACTTTTTTATATTTGCATAAAATATTAAAATGCTTTTACATTTATTTCTTTTAACCGAAAAGGATTTAGTTCGAATAACATTCTAATTAAAACAAGAATTGTAATTCATGAATGTTTTATAATAAATAGAAAAAAATGGGGCAAAAAAATGGTAGTATTTTTGATACTGAAAGATAAGGAAATTCCTGTTATAAATTTGCTTTTAGTGGCGGGTAATCAATACATTCTGCTGGATTACGGAATTCCCGACTTAAGAAATTCTTTGAAACTATTTAATAAGCGTGTATTATGCTTATTGTTCTACCACATTCATGGTAATTCATGGTAATCAGTTTTTCTCTTTTGTTTTCATTCCACCAATGTAGCCATGCCATTGTTCTATTTGTATGCACGATTTTTCACACATTTAGTTTTTTAGTTATAATTTTTCATAATGCTAAAATGATAAAAAGCTAAATACTAAAATCCAACTATTAAAAATAGTCTACCCACTCATAAATAAATGTATTCGACTGTGATTTTGAGTTATTTTAAGAATATTTCAAATATATTCAAATTCATTTTTTAATTACTACAAAATATCGATATTGCAAAAGATTGCTCTCTCACTCTCAGCTCACTCGTTTGTGCACTTTTACATTGGGACTCAAAAGAGTCTCATTTTTTTCAAATTTTCTTTTGGTGTCGCTCTGTGCATTCACACGGTCAAAAAGAGTCCAGCAACTCGAGTCTAGTTTTTCTGCATTCCTTTTCACAAAAATTTCGTAAATATTTGTGCGGTTCGACTGCGCAACACTGCGTGCTGCGTATTTCATTTGTATGTTGAGATGATGGTCACACATTTTGCTTGCAATGAATTACCATGAATATGGTAGAACAATATGCATAATACAAGTACCTACCCGCTAAATAGTGTCAAAGAAATACTAAAGACGGGAATTCCCTAATCCACAAGAATGTATTGAATATCCGCTACTAATATTTTCAAGGCCAAATTTATAATAGGAATTTCCTAATCTTTAAGTATTAAAAACTCATAATTTCTTTACTCCGTATTAAAAATTCATAATTTCTTTACTCCATAATCTATATCTTAATTTTCTCCTTATTTACAATTTTTCAAAATATTTCTATTGTTCTATGCATACATATTTGCATATTACATACAAAAAATAGATAACAGAATTCAAATTTGCGAACGAATTCATTTGAAACCGAGCGCTCTTGCAACCATTAAAAGAATTTGAAACTGAAAAGGAATGCTGAAAAGGGTAGCAGCGAGCTGTTACGAACAAGAACACAAAGCGTGCCACCCGAACACGAGTGGCACGGTCCCTTCGTCTTTCCTCGTCGTCCCCTCGCCCACAATAAACTGGTTTGAGACTCTTTTGAGTCCCAATGTAAAAGTGCACTTTCTAGGGAAAAAATCCAATTTTTGCAGATAACCTACCGTACGGTCTATTGAAGCGGACGGTAGAAGCGGTGGTGAGTGTTTATTTACATTGCGCTCTCATAAGATAGGTCGTATCAGCTGTTTGTGCCATCACTGTTTCTGCTTTGCGCGATTATAACGCAAATCAGAGAGCTGCAACGAGTATTTAAATCAGATCAAACACTCGTGCCGAAAACACAATCAAATCAATTCGGCTAATCATACACAACATTGTTGATCGATTCAAGTAAGTGGTATGGCCGACTATCATATCAGTACATTTGCGACCATAGATTGAGTTGAACAAATGTATGCCTGCGGGTAAGCCATGAAAACAAGCAAATTTACTCCAGTAATGTAGGGTTAATTTAAATCATGTGAGTCATGCTCGAGTATAAATATATGAACTTTGGGTGAAAGTGCATGTTAAAAGGTATCGATGCGTGAAAACAAATTTGTCAGTATACTTATATTTGAAGCCGAAAGAATTTAACACATGTTAATAAGAAAATTATTTTTTAACATAGAACTAAAATTAAGGAGTGTACAAAATCTTCTTCCAATAGTTTTGTACTATGTGAGTTTCAATTTAATTCTGAATTTATTTGTAACATATTCTTACACATCTCAAACAGCAAAAACATCCACTCAGCATTGTGATCCTTTATAAGTTCGTGATAAAATTTATTTAGTTGTTCATTCATTTTTTCAAAATTCTTGTTAACTTCATTTATTGTCTTTTTTAATATATTTATTGTAGCATCAACTATTGTTGTCCTTTTCTTAAACAAATGTGCTATATTATTTTGGTTGTCAAAAATATTTTTAATATTTGATTCCATATTCTCTCGGCCATCAGCATCCATAATATCAAATAATATATAGTCAATCGATCCAACAAATTCGGATGGTGCTCGCCTTTTTCTATTTTGTTATTTCATAAATATATTGCTGTATTTTTTTCAGCTCAGCTACTGAAGCTCCTAGTTTAGTTGTATCATTAAGAACCACATCATTATTCTTGAAGTCAACAAACTTGTAACCTGATTTGGCTCTTCTGTTTTACTACTATTTGTTGTCTCCAGTGGACATAATTTGTGAACGGGTCGTTTAAGTATCCCATTGTGTAATTTTAAAGTTACAATTCTAACATTTCCATCACTTCCATCCATCTTTAATAATTGCTATTTAACCTACTGCTAGATTCGCCTGTCTGGTTTTCCATTTTACCGTTTAAAAAATTCTCTTTTCATTTTTTGTCTTAATTTCCATATATCTAACGAGGTTATTTGTGTATCATCTATTGCTTCAATACAATCTATTATTGGACATCCTATTAAAAAATGTCCGGGTGTTAGAATATCTATATCGCTTTCACTATCAATCGCACATAGAGGTCGGGAATTCAGCACTGCTTCAATTTGTGATAAAATAGTAATCATCTCTTAAAATGCCAATTAACTTTCCCCTATTACTCTTTTTAAATGATATTTAACTGACTTGACTTCTGCTTCCCAAATTCCTCTGAAGTGAGCTGCCGGCGGCCCTTTTTATCTTTTTAAAGCAGTTAGGAACGCTTCAGTTGTTAAATCACTTACTGCCTCTAAATGAATAGCTTTTGTTGTCATACATACAAATACAGCAATATAGCCTTTAAATGTTTTTTGGCTACGTGTGCATAGTCTACACCGACGTGTGTAAATGGTATTGACATCGATATTTGGAATTTTCGAAGATTTGTTTTGCTACTTCTTTGCGGTACCGTATGCATCGACTACAAGCTCGAATTCTCTTTTTTATGAAGTTTTCAATCCAATAATTCCTTCTAATCATTGCTTCCATTAACTTATTTCCTCCATGCTAGGTTATTTTATGAAGTTAATGATGACAAATGTGATTTATTTAATATTATTGGGTTCTTCTGATCAAATTGAAGATTTGCATTCCCCAACCTACCTACACGAAGGATTCCTTTACTATCCAAAATTATATTTAAGCTTGCCATGATACTTTTATTACTAATTTCTTTTTTGGTTTCATAACTTTGAATTTCCTCTCTAAATTGTAATCTCTGCTGATATCTATCAACTAAGTTTGTAGGACATTTTTGTATTCTTATTTTTCTTACAAATCGCAAAATATAAGCTACTACTCTTATTAATTTGGTGAAACTAGAATACTTTAATATTACCCTATCCAAAAAATGTGATTTCTCTGATGATGTGACATACAATTCCACTTCCGTAAATCCATATTTTTGTAATTGTTTCGAAATTTAATATTAAATGACTTTACATTAATTTACTGAATCTGAAAGCAAACAGTTGTAAGGCTCGCAAAATTTGGCAATTTCTTGTAATGTTCTCGTTGCCAATAAAGGAGCTGATGCTGTCCTATACGTTACTGTTTGCAATTTATATTCTTCGATCGGCTCTCCTTTCGTTTCTCTCCACAATATACGTTGATAATCTTGGTCACTTGCTGCTATTTTAATTTGTCGAAACATTTCTTCGATATCACTTGTTAACACATATTGCCACAGTCTCCATTATTTCCACTTATAGTTTTTGCTGATGCATCGAAAACTACTCGTAGTTTAGTTGTGAGACTGCCTTCTTGAATCACTGCTTGTTGTGGCAAATAGTGTTTTCCGCACTTATTTTCATTTGTTTTCTCATGTGGCCCTTTTCCAAATATTCTCTCATAAATTGCACATATTGGTTTTTTAGTTCGTCATTTGTGTTGAACTTTTTTGCAAGATTAAGAAATCTCGCCATTGCTTGCTTGCGAGAGTCTCCCAATTCTTCATATTTTTTAAAAGTCAGACTGACGATAAATCTATTATTTTTATCTTTTACTGTTGTTTTATCAAATATTTTTAGGCATTCATCGTCATCTTCAGAATAAGTTGGAGTTGCGGTCCCTGCTATTTCCCAAAGTTTCTCCAATCTTGTAATAACGCCGCTAAAATTTTATTGTTTTTTCTCGATTGTTGTGAAATTCCTGACAAATTCCAGCCCAATTTTGTAGCTTGACCTAGTATTCAATCCTTAAATATGCCTTCTAGTATTATATGTCAGCATATACATCACCTCCAATAACGACGTCAATTCGATCCGACTTATTGAAGTTGAGATCAGCTAAGATATAGTTTTGCCATTGTTTCATATCCAATTTAAACGTTTTATCTGGTTGTGCACTCGCTAATTTTGGCAAAATTAGTGACTTCACGTTGCCCTTGTGGTTTAGTTACTTCTCTTCTCTTTGATAAATGAAGTATTTGAGCTGCTTCTTCGGAAATTGTGGTTTTTTGTGATCCTTGATCGATTAGAGCTCGCAATATCACAAACTCTCCATTTGCTGCCTTCACTCTTATTTGAGCTGTTATTAGAAGTATTGTCGTTTCGAAGTTTT